AAAAAAAAAATAGCAGATTATCCTTAAAACAGAAAAGCGCAGGTATCCGATTTTACACACGGCCTCGCAAATCGGCGGTTCAGTTACCGTTCACGGAACTTTTCTCCTTATCGCTATTTTCTCGCTCAAGCAGCAGTCGCGATTCTCATTCAATCGCCATGCGTGTTCTTCGTGCATAATCCGACGACGCCGTAGAAAGATGCTACTGTGTGTGGTTGTTGCTTGTGGCTTGACATGGATTTATGGTTGGTTTTGTAGTTATAATAATTTCTACCTTTTCCTTTGCTTCTCTCTCTCTCTCTCATCAGATCTGAACTAATAATCTCCCAGCACCAGACAAAAAGGACAATCTCATTAATCAATTACTATATTTAACTCCACTAGTAAAGTATCCACGATTATATTGCTTTTGCCCTTTTATTCTAGCTCATGTGACCATCAAATTTTGTTTTTTTACATATAGAAACAATATAGGCAATGTTTGGTACGGTTTTGCTATGAAGCTAACCTTCTATATACAACAAATAAATCTATCATATTAATAAAATTATATTAACGTTTTTTAAGTAATCGAAGAATATGATAGGTTTACTTGTTATATATAGAAAGTTGGCTCCACTATGGAGCCAACTGTTGGCTTCATAGCAAAACCGATGTTCGGTAATACTAGTTCCAACGGCTTAGCTTATATTATATAAATGAATTTCAAGCTTATATCTTATATATTATGGCTTATAGGTAGTGTTTGGTAAAATTAGTTAGTTGATAAGCTAATTGAAATAAGTATTTCGACGAGCTTATTTGAAAAACTTAAGCTTTTTAAATAAATTTTTCATCTATCCATTAGGATTCTCTCGTCTGAGAGTTTAACGATTCTCTCGTTGAGAGTGGGTTTCTTTTCAATTCTTCTTCGGGGACGGATGAGAGGGGTAGAATTAGGGTCTTTCTTGTTTGAGTTTTTGTCTTTCTTCTGGAGTTTTTGGGGCTAAGGTTTTATTGGGGCTAGGGTTTTCAGAGATTGGAATGGATCATAACTCTCCTGGGCCTACTAGATCAAGAGATGCTGAGGAAGATGTCGAGGAACAATTGCGTAAATTCTCGTTGTCCGAAAGGAAAACACATATATAGAGCTGGGATGGGGCGGTATTATAGCTAGGGAAGAGGAATGTGTGAGGAGCTTGTTCGGTAGAATAATAGGGGACAAAAGGGCTAGTCTCTATGGGATCAAAAGAACTATGAGCATTATCTGGAGGGTTCAACAACAAATTGAAGTTCGAGAGTTGGGAAACAACTTCTTCCAGTTCATTTTTGGGAATAAAGAGGATCTGAGGAAGGTGACTGCAGAACAAATTGGGTGTTTGAGAATCAGTATTTGATCCTGCATGACTGGGTTACAGGTATGAATGCCAACCACCCTTGTTTTGATGAGCTCAAGATGTGGGTTCGAGTTTATGATGTTCCTCTGAATTGGCTTTGCACTGAAGTGGGATTGAAAATTGGGAAAGTATTCAATCATACCAAAAAAGTTGTTGTTGAAACTGGAGGGACAGAAGGAAGATTCTTGAGATTATTGGCTATTGTGAACCTTAAGGAGCCATTGCATAGGTGTGTCAGTATCAAACTTGGGGAGCAGAGGGTTAGGGTGAGGTTTAAGTATGAAAAGCTGGTTAATCTATGTCACTATTGTGGGTTTATTAGCCACATTGACAGGACATCAAAGAAGAAAATGAATGATATTGAGACAAATGAAATGAGAGAGGGGCAGCTTGGGGAATGGTTGAGGGCAAGAGAACAGGGCTGAATAACAGAAATAGTCAGACATCAACTCACTTTGGAAATTCACAAAACTCACCACCAGTTCACACAACCACCAGTCTAATTCTTCGGGAGTAGCAGAAATAAAGCTGCCACCAGAAAGTCCTCAACTAGAGGAGGTGACTAACACTGCTTGAGATAGTGATGTTCATTCTAAGTTATGTATATTTAGCCCTCATGTGCCAGTTGTAGAAGGATTGAGGAAGAAGGCCAGAATCCAGGAAGAAGATTCCAGACTTATAGCTAATCTCTTGGGAAATGAGAAGACTCCAGAGGAGATGGATATTGAGGGACAGAGAAGCAAAGAGGAGAAGGGTACTTCAAAGGGTGTTGTGGAAGGGACTTCTAGTGGTGGTCAGAAGGTGGTGAGGAGTTATCAGTTGAGGAAGAACAGACTTGGAGAAAGACAACCACTAAGGGAACAACCAATCTCAAGAAATATGCAGTTGAAGGAGAGGATCTATTTGAGAAGTCAAAGAAAAGGGGCAGGAAAGAAGTGGGGATCAAGAAAGGAAGTCAACCAGAATCGATGACTAAGAAATAAGTGGTAAAAAAGCTAAAGTTTTATCTGAGCAGGTGGGGGTAGCCAGCCTTGAATGGCCCCAAAGTGACAAATGAAGGCTCTGGTGTGAAATTATAGAGGGTTAGGCAGGCTCTCTACAGTTTCCCAAATCAAGGAGGCAATGAGACTCCATCACCATTATTTACTTTCTTATCTGAAACTAAGAAATCAGTAGCTTTTACCAAAGCAGTTTGTAAAAATTGGTGATTGGGGGAAGATGGAATTTGGTTGAACCCAGGGATATCAGTGGGTTTTACTATTATTCTGGAGTTTGGAGGTGGAGATCAGGAATTTGAAAAGTTCTGACTTCAGTATAGAGGTAGACTTTAGAAGAGAATGTGAGGAAGAATGGGAATGTATCACTTTTGTGTATATGAATACTGACAAATGTGTAAGAATCCAGCTGTGGAATCGTCTGAAGGAGGCTAAAAGGGAATGGGGGAAGTACTGTGTCATTGTAGGGGACTAGAATGACATATGCTCCAAGGAAGAGAATAGAGGAGGAAAAATAAGATCTGAAGCAAGTTTGTTAAGATTCAGAAATTTTCTGGAGGAGATGGGTAGTTATCTATTTACATGTGGTAACAATAGGGATAGGGAGGGGTTTGTGGAAGAAAAGATTAACAGGGCATTTTCTTCGTTTGCTTGGCATGTTAAATACCATGTTGCAAAGGTTAACAATATTTTGAGGACAACATCAGACCATTGTTATATTGTTAGTGGAGAGTGACTTTAGGAAGCAGAGGACAAAGAGGAGCTTCTAATTTGATAAAAGGTGGACAAAAGAGAAGGGTGTGTTAGACATTCTTAAGGCTGTATGGTATAGTTCTATGGCTGGGACTCCTATGGGGAGGGTAAAAGAGAAAATTAAGATGTCAATACTAGCACTGAGGAATTGAGATTGGAGAAAGAAGTCCAATGGCAGAGAACTTGTGGATAAGTTGTCTGCTCAGTTGGAGCAGATGAGGGAACTGGGTGGGAATAGAGATTGGGATGAATGGAAGCTAGTCAAATCAGAGCTGGAAGCTGGTCAACAGAAGGAGGAAATTTATTGGTAATGGAAGGCTCGAATTCAGTGGTTGCAAGAAGGGAATTGTAATACCAAATTTTTTCATGCATATACCATTCAAAGAAGAAAACAAAATGCCATTAGTAGATTGGTGGGAGAGGGAAATAGAGTTTTCAACATAGATAAGGAAATGGAGGAGCATGTTCAAAATTTCTATGAGAGACTGTTTACGTCTGAAAATTCTACTGAGGGTGAAAATCTGCTGCAACACATTCCCCACACCATATCTGACAAGATGAATAATGATCTAGTATGCCCAGTTGATGAAGATCTTATCAAACAATCTCTTTTTAGCTTTAATACTAATAAATTCCTGGGGAGGACGGTATGTCAGCTCGTTTTTTTCAGCATGATTGGTCTATTGTGAAAAATGAATTGTGTCATGTTGTTATCAGTTTCTTTGAGTCATGTATACTTTTGAAATCCTGGAATCATACTTTAATAACTTTTATTCCTAAGTGTGTTAAGGCAGAATCGTTGAGCCAGTTTAGACCCATAAGCCTTTGTTCTGTGGTATACAAAATCCTATCCAAAATTCTAGCTGATAGGCTGAAAGTGTGCTTAGATGATTGCATTGAAGGGGCTCAGTCTGCTTTTATTCCAGGAAGACAACTCTTGGATAATGTAATTGTTGCCCATGAATCTTTTCATTTTCTTAATAGGCATGGGACTGTGAGGAATTGTTTTATGGCTTTGAAATTAGATATGAATAAGGCCTATGATAGAGTTGAATGGGGATGTGTGAGGATACTATGATTAGGTTGGGTTTTCATGGGAGGTTTGATAAATGGGTTTTGGCATGTATTTCCTCTACCTATTTTTTATTCAACATTAATGGGAGAGTGGGTTGGTTGATTAATCCTTCAAAGGGCAGGCTTAAGGCAATGGGATCCTATCTCTCCCTACCTCTCTCTGTTAGTCTCTTAAGTGTTGTCTGCAGCCATTATCAAAGAAGCAGA